AAGAAAATGGATTGATTCGCAACCGTATTGTATTAGGCATTCGGGATAGGAGTCTGACCGAACGTTTGCTTCGAGAATCTAACCTAGGATTAGAAAAAGCTATAGAAATAGTCCAACTCTGGAACATGAAAGATGATCCAGTGACTGTGAACAGCATGAAGAAATATAGAAAACAGCAGCATCAATCAAAACAGTCAGTGCCACCGAAATTGTCATCGCAGCAGAAGCAATCAGCACTAGAATATGACTGCAAGAAGTGCAGAAGAAGGCACAAATATCGGGACTGTCCAGCTTTCAGAGACGTGTGCGAAATGCAAAGTAAAGAACCATTTTGCCGCGAGGTGTCCCAAGAACATTTGTGAAGTTGGAATACCAAATAATGAACTTAGTATATATAATGAAACATAGTGTATTTGTGACTTGTAATGATTAATCCACCTGTAAACGGGCATAGTGAATTTAAAATAAGTGCAAAATCAATCAAAGATCTAACAAATTCTATTGATGAAGTAAATAAGGATATTCACAAGGTAAGTGAAACATGGGTGAAAAGTATTATAATGTAAGTAAATAGCAGAAGTAAATATTTTGCCTTTGTATGTTTTAAATAATGTTAAACCTAAGCCTAAACTTAATAAAACTGGTTTGTTCTTAACTGCATATGGTAATTTTAAGTTAAAACCAGAAGGTACTCTTATAATTAATTGTTCAAGTGAAAGGCTTAAGAATGTACCTTTACAGTTTTATGTTCTTGATGTAAGATCTAAGCCTATATTAGAGTTAACAGCTTGTTCTGCATTAAAGCTAATTGAAAGGACTGATTCCTTAAAGTGCAATATCATTAATAAAAATGATTTAACTGCTCAGTATAAAGATGTATTGTATTTACAGGTATACAGGGCAATTTCCTGACGAACCATATCATATAACCCTTAAAGATTATGCAAAATACCAGTAATACAACCCCCAAGACGTGTTCCTCGGGCTTTACAGCCTAAATTAAAAGATACTTTAGATAAACTTGAAAGAAAAGGGATAGTATTGAAAGTAAATAAACCAACTGATTGGGTTCAAAGGTTGGTTATAGTTGAAAAACCTAATGGGAGTCTGAGATTATGTTTGGATCCTAGAGATCTAAATAAAGTAATTAAAAGGGAACACTATCAAATTCCTTCTCCAGATGATATAATTAGTAGGTTAAAAGGTAAAAAAGTATTTTCAGTTGTAGATTTAAAAGATGGATTTTGGCATGTACCACTAGATGAAGCTAGTTCTGAACTATGTACATTTAATACTCCTTATGGAAGATATAAATTTAATAAAATGTCATTTGGAATATCCTCCGCTCCAGAAATATTTCAGAGAAAAGAAACCAAAAATTATTGGTGATATTGAGGGTGTGGAAGTTTAGTTATTTTGATGATATCATAATTGCAGGATCTGATGAGGTTACTCATGATATAATTATCTCTAAGGTTCTTGAAAGAGCTAGGTCTCTAATATAAAATTTAATCCTGATAAATTACAATATAAGGTACCGGAAGTCAAATATGTAGGCAAAATTATTTCTGAGTCAGGTGTAAAAGCCGATCCTAGTCATATTAAAGCAATTATTGATATGCCAACGCCAAAATCAAAAACTGAAGTAAGGAGGGTGTTAGGAATGTTAAATTTTCTGTCAAAATTCATACCTAATGTATCTAAAGTTACTGCTCCTTTAAGAGAAATCATTCAAGAAAAGGTAGAATTTAATTGTTGAGAAACTCGGACTTTAATTGGGGAGAGTCATTTAACAACATCAAACAACTGCTAACCAAAGCTCCAATTTTAAGTTTTCAGTGGTAATGAGGATATAATTATACAGTGTGATAGTTCGAAGGATGGCCTAGGATCGTGTCTAATTCAAAAGGGTAAGCCTGTATCATTTGTGTCTCGCAGCCTGAAAACTAACAGTGATTAACAGTGAAAAAACTATGCACAGATCGGAAAAAAGAGCTATTGGCCATAGTATTTTCTTTTGAAAAGTACCATAATTTTGTTTATGGACGGAAAGTCACAGTACAAAGTGATCATAAACCGTTAAAGGCAATTGTTAAGAAATCATTGCATAAAATCTCAGCTAGAATGCAAAGGATGATCTTAAAACTACTAAAATATGATTTTGAGATAAATTATGTTCCAGGTAATCAAATGCTTTTTGCTGACACTTTGTTACAAGCATATCCTGTGAATGAAACTATTAGTGATGATCCTGAAATGCTAAATGTTGTTCACATTATTTCAAAATATTTGCCTATGAGTGAAAGAAGAGTGGTGCAATTTAGGAAATAAATTGAATCAGATCCAGATTTGCAAATAGTTATGAAATATATTAAAGAGGGTTGGCCTAAATGTTACAAAAAAGTAAATACTTTAAACATTAAACTTATTTAAAATTTAAAAACATACTTTAAAGTTAAAAATGATCTTTATATTAATGATGACTTGTTATTTATTAATGAAACATTAATTGTACCTTATGGTTTGAGAAAAGATATGTTGCAATTAATTCATGAAGCACATTTTGGAATTGAGAAATGTAAAAGTAGAGCCCGTGAAATTTTTTACTGGCCAGGTATGACAAATGACATTGAGCAGCTTGTTTTTAAATGTGAAAAGTTCAGAAATAGAAATCAAAAAGGAACCTCTAATGCAAAAAATGAAATTCCAACTAAAAACCATTCGAAAAAAAAAAAAATTGCCCTTGATATCTTGCAATTTGGTAATCAAAATTACTTAGTAGTTATCGATTATTACTCTAAATGGATTGAGGTTTCTAACATAAAAGATAAGACAGCAAATGAAATTATGATAAATTTAAAATGCATCTTTCCCAGGTATGGTATTGCAAATAAAGTCGTTTGCGACAATAATCCTTGTAATAGCTACTTATTTAAGAAATTTGCAGAAGACTGGGATTTCGAACTTAAATTTAGTAACCCCATATATCCTCAAAGTAATGGGTTAACTGAAAAAGCTGTAGGAATAGTGAAAAATATCATGAGGAAAATGCAAGATATAAGTGTAGGCTTAATGGAATATCGAAATACCCCAATTAGTGGAATAAATTTGTCTCCTGCACAACTGTTACTTAATAGAAGATTAAGGACAAAATTACCTATCAGTAATAAATTGTTCAATACTAAGATAAACAATTTGTGTACTACAAGCTAGGCAAAAATATTATTATGATAGAACCGCACAGAAACTGCCTGAGTTAAAACCTGGAGATAGTATAACTTTGTTCAACTTTAGAACTGGGCCATGGGATAAAGGTGAAATAATTTCAAAACATAAAGTTCTTAGATCCTTATATTGTAAGAAATTCAAATGGGGAAATATTACGAAGAAACAGATGCCATATAAAATTTTCAAAATCACCTTACAAAGTTAATAATGATTATGATGATATAGTATTAGATAAAGAGGAAAATTCAAATGGAAGCCCTGAAAATGTTTCTGTGCTTGTTAATATAGGAAATCAACAGAATAATCAATCCAATAATACAATAACAAAACTTTTTTTTATTTATGTCATATTGTGAATATACTTGTATTGATATTATTTGCTATTTTTATTATTGTTTAGAAACTGGAGGAAGGGATGTGATGTATATTTAAAATAACTACAACTATAACTGTAACTGTAAATGACTATATGTTGTGATGCACGTGTTACTGTGCTAGCTGAATGTCATGTGAACTGTTTAAAAATGTAATAATAAAAATTTTGAATTCTTGAGATATACTCATTAGTTGAGTCTACTTTTAAAGCATAGAAGTTCTTAAGTTTAACAAACTAAACAAGAAGTTACACTGGGAATTCTAAGAAAAACTCAAACTGAGAGGTACTGGTCAAGGGAAATCGACCAGCAGTTTTACAAAGTTGAGAACAAAATTTAAAAACTGTTATTGTAGAATGAAACAAACAGAGATGTAATATTTTTTGTAAGAGATAAAATTTCATCAAGAAGGGTAATTATAAAAATATTTTTTATTATTCATAAAAAATTTTAAAATCTATTTCAAAATTTTCATAAACTGCTTAATTTTATGATTCATTTATAATTATTATTTTAGAATTAATTATTGAATTAGTTTGTTAATTATCATTTTACTGAATTGAATTTAATATATATAAAAGTATGCTGCTGTGAATTTACAATAAATTTAATACAAAAATTATGTAAATAATATATAAATGCAGTAAAATTTCTTTTTAATCATTAAAGTCTGTTTTAAATTGTATTAAAGTCTGCAATAAGAATATAAAGATACAAAAATTCAAAATGAAAACAGATGGTATTATAATAATAATATGATAAACATTAAATGTCGATACCATATATATTTCATAATGACAATTTCCAATGTTTAATTTTTACAAATAATATAGAACTCAAATGCATAAACACAGGGGTGTCAGAGACGGTTACTCGAGTTTTTTTGGATTTCTCTACAGAAATTGCTTTTCACTCAAAATTGAATTGGCTTAAATGCTTCACAGGAATAAGTTCTTTGAGTTTCAGCATTGGTTCATAATCCCTTCTATTTGCGGAAATATTTGGCTTGACTAGAATTGCCAGTTTGGCTTTACCTTATTACTCGAGTAAAGACGAAACACCTTTGTATTTATGCATTTATTTATTAATTATTATTCATTGAACGGGAGTTGGTTTGTTCCCCTTGAAAAGTCAACTAATTTCCGATCAATGACAATGATTACATGCTTTTAATTTCGTTTTTCCTTTTACAATTGAAATTTTGTTCTTCATGATTGAATTCCAATCCCCGTTAAAACATTATTAACTTTTTACTTTCAAGTTACTTCAATATAACTTACTAGTATGGATTCACTCTTTTAAAATAATTCTACTTTAATTAAACTTAGGAGATAATATAATCAATTAATCAATATTGTTTAGGAAATAAATTAGATATTATATATTAACACTGTTATACTAACTAGCATAACATACTAATATTGGAATTTTTACTAACACTGGAATTTTATTTGAAGTGTTACAGAACAAGGGCAGTATAGAATAAAAATATAATAACCACAATAAGTAACTGTAACTCACCAGCTGAGTTAATCTTTCCCAGGACATCTTAATTTGTTCAAGATTTCTATCTATCATCTCTGATTCCTATTTGAAACACACACTTTAATTTCAAATAATCTTTAAACAGAGAAATTTAGTGAACATGCACAATTTATGTTACTTACTTCAGGATGCTCATATTTATTCCTTTCTGCTTCTTTTTCAAGATTTTCAAGCTAAAAGTACACAATAAACGCCAAATCTATCATGATGCATTTACCTATTTTAATCACATTTCAAGTATCAAAATCATTTAAATTCCAGCTAAAATTCGATTGGCAGTAATATCTTACTTTAGCATGTATAGCAGCTAAATCTCTTTCCATTCCACTGAGCCTTCTCTGAAGAGTCATTATTCCTACCAGATCATCTCCAAGATCTTCAGTGGCTTCTAGAAGTTTTTTCTTTTCTTCAATCCAAGTCTATTAAAATACAATTTACATGATAAATGTAATGCAATATGAAATTATTAATACCTTAGTACTGTTTTCAAAAATTATTTTGAATTATGATTGAAAATATACATGAGTTACAGGTAATTGATTTATTTTACAAGATGTACTTAATTTTGTTTACTTTTCTTTTGGAAGACTGACAAAAGAAAAAAAAATTATGCATTATGTGCATTGGACTAAAATAGTCCTAACTGTTTTATACATGTGTTTTGCTATGTATTCCTTCTGAAGTATCACGTATAACCTGCAGCACACTTTACACAGAAACATGATGTATGACCAGCACTATATTATAATATATAGTGTTTCACTAGCAAAACAATATTTCTGGCATCTCCACATGAAAAACCTTGAAAGGGTTATATATGTGAAGAAAATGATAAGTACTGTAGAACAAACAGTACTGTAGAAACAAATAGTACTGTAGAAACAAATCACCAAAATGTTTGATACTACTACTAATAATAAGAAGAAGAACAAGCCAAGGCAAATGTTCTCAAATTTTTCTCATGAATTTGTTGGCATAATGTTTATTTTGTAGATTTCCTTCACTTCGTTATTCAGCATTTTCTAGAAAAGTATGCATGGTCTGATTGGATGACATTCAATGATACAGTAAAAATACATGGAGACTTTTCAGAAGTATCTCTTTGTCAGGAAGACATCTCAATGAATTATTCCCTTACCATAAATTTTACAACCATCTGTTTTGTATGGCTCAAGATCACTCCCAACAAATTCCATGTTTTCATGCAGATATGGAAATTGTGTGTGTATGTGGGGAGGGGGGAAGATAAATATCAAGTACATAGAAAATAGGTACTTTTTGGTTAATAGGGGAACAGTCATAATCGTGCATGAAAACATCAAATATATGGTAATAGTTTATTTCATCTTGTCAGTTCTTGTCAACTTGTTTATTTCATTTTTCAGGCTATGAAAACTGTCATTGGTTATGCGACAAAAACACCAATCTAGGAATTTTCTCACCAAGATTTTTATTTATTTTTTTGTTGAAATACTCATTTTCTTGAAAGAAAAATAATCATTCTTCTGTAGTCAAAGATATCATCCACACTAAAACTGTTCAGAAATTTGCAGTCAAGCTCCATTTTACGTATGGTATTATCTTGTATAACTACAGAAATACCAAAATGGCACTATAACCAAATATCATATCACAAAATGAAAGGTTTATAGAGAAAATGCTGCTTTGGAAGTTTGCACATTCCTATGCTGAAAGCTATTTGGTATATTCTGTTTGGTCAAGAGTTCACATTGGTAGAATTTTAAGATCTACAACTATAGTCTGTTTCTTTAAAATAGGCACTTCAAGGCCATTGCAACCCTCCCCCAGTTGTGATTACAATGCATGTCACCATAAATGTATTGTACTGATTTTCTTCACCTGTAATTTCAGATGAAGTTACCTCAAGCCAGCCATCAGCTGCATGCTTTTCATAAAATGAACATGCAAACAGGAATGGAGTGCGAGAAAAAGCTAGGTGACTTAAACCATCCATTTTAACTGTTCTTCCCATGATTACAAAGCAAGTTAACTGCAGAACTTAACAGAAAAGAATCACTGTTAAAAATTATTGAATGGAATGACAGCATGCCTTGGGAATTTTTGAACTTCCACATGCTTTTTTAAATTTATTTATTTTAGATTTAACAAATTAACCATTTTTTTTCATGAAACTGTATGTTTTATTATGGTTGTTATTCTTATCCCTGTTAAAATTTGGCACTTTATTTATAAAGTATTTCTTCTGCTTTCTTGGGATGCCTTTGTGGTGTGGTGGTCTGCATGCTGGGTGCATATTCCAGAGGTCAGCGGTTCGATTCCCGGCAAAGACGCTGCATATTTTTCATTGCTCTTGCTTCAAAAATACCTAATGTGTCAACCTTGGAGCCCAAACTAAAACGGTAGTGGATGATGATTCTCCACACCTAGGATTTGGCGATTGGGCCCCTAAAAACCCCAGTTGCCTTTTAAAAGGGGGTGTATATAAGGTATTTCTCCCGCCTTCTTGGCATGCCTTCATGGTGTGGTGGTCTGTACGCTATTCGCATATTCCAGAGGTCTGTGGTTTGATTCCCGGCAAAGGCGTTGCAAATTTTTCATCTTTCTTGCTTCCGAAATAACCGAATGTCTCTACAGTGGTGCCCGACCTAAAAGGGTGTTGGATGATGATTCTTCTCACACAGGATTTGGTGATTGGTTTCCTTAAAAACCCCAGTCTCCCTTTAAAAGGGGGAGTATATATGGTATTTGTCCCGCCTTCTTGGTGTGGTGGTCTGCAAGCTGAGCGCATATTCCAGAGGTCCGCAGTTCAATTCCCAGCGAAGGCGTTCCATATTTTTCATCTTTCCTGCTTCCAAAAAATACCTAATGTCTCTACATATTACCTAAAATATGCCAAAAACTGAAATAAAACATATCTTCCTTACTATAGTTTCCTTGCATTCTATATGGAAAGTCTGAATTCCATGAGCTGAAGCTATTTGTTCTTTTTTGTGTTCAGCAGTAGCTTTCAGTGCAGCCCATCTATATAAAAAGAAAAAAAGAAAAAAAAAAAAAAAAAATTAAACGCTTTTCTTATTTCTGTACAACCTTCTGTATTTTTTGTTGTTTATTTATTTTCATGCATTACTAAAAACATAACACAAGCTTTATTATTATTATATTGATAACTATTAACTTTCTCAAACTGGTATTTGTCAACCACCTTTATATGACAAATTAGACACTTCGAAAATATTATTCTTACCTTAAAGTAAGCCTATGTAACAGTTATAGAGAAATGCAATGGTAATCTAACATAAAAATTTTCATGTTTCTTTTGCAAATAATTCAAAACAATTTTGTGATTAATATATCTTTCCTGTAATGCCTATTTTATATGTAAATCTTTCAAATGTCCATATGATTATATCATTGTTATTACTGCAATAAGTTGTATGTGAAAAACATATTCCTTTTTAAATTAAAACAAAATTCAATGGAAAATTACAATAAACAAAACATCATATGTGACAGAAAATCAAAAAGTAAGAACAAATATATTCAAATATCTGCCATGTGGCTAAAACCTTTGTAAAATTACTTTTTCTTATGTGTATGTACCAAGAAAAGTTATCCAAAGTATTAAGTAATGAAATGAAGACATGCAGTTGGGGGAAGTTAAAACAACTTACTTCTAAGCCTAAACTAATGTCTAAGACTACATTACGAAAATAATTTAAATCAAATTTCATAAATGAAAAATTACACAGGAAGACTTAAAAGAACAGGTTTATACATAGTAGTATAAGATTAGAAATCTACAGAGCTTGAGATAAGAAGATGCATGAATTATGCAGGTTTTTTGAGCCATAATAGAAAAACTATGAAATTTGATCTTTAAAATAAAGCAGTATAATAAAAATGAATTGAAGAAAGCACATATTTTTTTTTTTTTTTTTTTTTTTGAGATTTCTACAGAGTAAAACAAGAGGCATGTTGAAAAAAAAAAAACAAAAAAACGATAAAAAGCATATAAAAGCAAATTAATATGAATAAGAAATTAATAAATGTGCAAAGAAAATGAAAGGCGGGAAAGCATTAAAGACGCATATAAAAATTAATTTTCACATTTTCCAAATGTCTGTTTCATTATATATATTATATATATACATTTCTTTCTTACTTTATGATGTTGGAGTCTCCCTTTTCCAATTTGTATGTACTCATAAATATTTAATCAGTAAAATAGCTTTGTTGTTCTAAAAATTTCAATTTTTTTTTTCTAAATTCAAACATTTATTAATTTTTTTCTCTTAGCATTCAATATGCCATCATAAGAATTATATTGTTGCTAAATTTAAAATACTATTGATGATATCATAATCAGTCATTTGATAGTTATATAATATCAAAATCATATATCTATTAAATTTACACATAACTATTCAAATTTATAAACATTATTTACATTAATTTTCATCACTTTCTTTGCACAAAGAAACAATTCTTTATCTAACTTTATTGGCTAACTTCTAAGGCTTTATTGAATCTTTAATCCACAAAAGTTTCCACTAGTATAATAAAATAAAATAAATGCAGGACATGGCCATAAACCACGCTATGTGTTTAAAAAGGCAAACTTTGGAAAAAGAAGTTTTTAATTCAATAATTTTGCAATTTTGTGATCTTATTAACTGTAAATTTCATTTTTTATACCTGAAAAACTCTGCAGATTTCAGGTATTGGTGGATTTTATCTATTTCAGATCATAGGATGTTTTAAATCTTTTACTGCACTATTAAGATAATTCACATTCAAAATATGTAAATGAAATCTTTATATTAAGGAAAAACAAAAGAAAAGATTTGACACATACAATATTATAGTACATTATAACTACCGTTCATTGAGATGATTCTGTTGAACCAGAATTTCTTCTGAGTTAGGATGTTCGACATGCAAAAGTTGGCGTGCCAACTGATTCACAACAGATACTCTGGATGCATTAGCATTCATTTCTTGCTCAAATCCTTCAAAGCGATGCTTCATCACTTCAATGTCTTCTATATCATTACTCATCACCATGGAATCTAGCATTTTCTCCTGACAGAAGGAAAGGAAAGCAATTAGAATTAATGCTTAAAAATGCAATAATCAGTGGTTAAGTAGACAGATATACGTAGTATATATATTTTATAATGCATTTAAACAGGTAGACAGATATATGTATTTTATAATGCATTTAAACAATCTCCAAATTTTTAGAGTAAATGATAAGTAAGCATTCCTTTTGAAATATAATTTCAATGAAGATGAGTATTTTAAAAGAATACCTTTTCCAAAATCCATTGTTCGATTCCATCAGCTTCATTGAACAATTTGTATAAAGACAAAGCATCAAGAAGACGCTGTTTTCTCAATTTGGCTAATTCTACTAATTCTTTGTATCTACGATCAATGCTAGCAAGTCTGTCTAAGACTTCAGGTGCAGTTCTATCCTATAAACATGAAATAAATCTATAAACATGACTATAAGATGGCATGGTATAGATGAAAAATTATAGTGAAAAAGATATTTAGCTAAAACATATACTTCTTATTTCAAGAGAAACATTTTTAAATGAAAAATATTTAAATTAGTTGCAAAAAGAGAAGACGTAAATAAATTATACTTTCTATTTATTCAGTATAACCTAAAACATATATGACTTTGCAAACAACAATAAATTTGCTTGTTGATTAAGCAATTGAATAATTACAAAGATCAATCTCAAATCATTAAAATATTTCTTTTTTCTTGTTGTTACAGTAATTTTTTTAAATAATGTGAAAAGGGGAGACTGCTTCTTTTGGAAAATTAAATTTCCCAAAAATAAAATACTTAATTATATTTAGAATTTTTAAATGCTATTTATAAATGAAAAGTGGAAGTGAAATCTGCAATACTTTGCACATTATCCTATTTTATTTAAAAAGGCACCACTTATTTAAAAAATATTTTATCTGAATACTTTACTTTCTTCAGAAGACATTCCATTTAAATACACATGGTGATAAAATATGATTTATTACTAAAATTAAAAATTATTTAATTATAAACCATTAAAGAATATTTTAATATTCATATATATCTGAATATTAGAAAATTTTGGGCCTTAAAGACATCAATTCTTTTTTAGTAATTAACAAATTATGTGATTAATACCAAATGATAATAAAATTAACATAGGAAAATAAGCAATATAATTGACATGATTTATTCTTGTAGTTACTAAATACAGCATGCAAAATTTTTCATTATTTCTAAACCCTAAAATCAACAAAATCATTTCATTTTAACTCTAAAACCAACAAAAACTTCATCAGATGTAAATACAGTTGGTTAACAGTTGATAAAATTAAAATTACACTATTTTTCATCATAAGTTTGCTGTATATATCATTCAAATGCCGAATAATCATACTTTTATTTATTCAGTGACTCTTAAATATGATCAAAGTGTTAATTTTCATTAAAAACCCCAAATCATGCAGAAATTTAAATGCATTCAAAAGTAATAAAAAAGTAAGGCTTACTTCATCTCCAAGATTAGCAGCTTGTTGATGAAGACAATCTATAGTATTTGCGAAGTTTTTCAGATCATCCGTTGTATCCTAATGTTCCATAAATATGTTTTAGTCAAAAATTAAAAAAAAAAAAAATTCTGATAGAATTCACATTTACATACAAGATCTCAAAATACACACCTTGTGTTTTTTCAAGAGAGACTGTACATTAGCTTCATCTTTCCCAATATCTTCACTTGAAACTAGCCTTAATGTATCTAACATCCATGTGTCAACATCATCAGCATCTGTAAAGAACTGTAGAACAGAATGAATACAACAATTTCGCAATGGAAGGAAAAAAACAGTCTAGGCTGACAAAAAGTAAAACTTTTAATTCAATCAACTCCTTTCTATTTATTTTATTTTATCCTCCTAGAAAACAAAAATTATTTATTTTAAAAATAACATGAAATTAAACACATTCTAATTTTATTTCAGCGCTGTTTTTTAATGTAATAAAAATAGTGGTATGATGATCAAAGTATATTAAAAATTTAAACTAATGAATTTACTAAAACTCATTCAGATGGCCAATTTTTTTTTACCGATACCACAGAATGCAATATTATCACTAGCTAACCCATCTCAGATACAGAATGAGTTAACTAATTTTATACTTTTTTACCTAAACTAATTTTGGATTTTGAACAAGTTTTGAAGTAATTTATTGATATAAATGAAACTTCATGCAATAAGAACAGTTAGAGCAGCTTTTGCTTTTAAGAAATTACAAATTGTTGTCATTCATTTTTAAAAAGTGGAAAAACAAATATTATCTGCATGTATAATAACTACAGAAATTGACAGCTATGGATTCAACATATACAAAATATATACCAATTAAATTCATTATATATAAAAAAAATTTAAGTTAGATTTAATATAGAAATATTCATCTGTTCATTTTTATACTTTTATATGTTCAAGATACATTTTTTTTTTCAGATAAAACTACTGCTTAGTCATTCATTTTAACACAATAACCTAGCATTAATTTCATACCTGATGATAATCCACAGCATCAGTTAACCTTTTCATTCGTTGTTGTTGTAGTTTCAAGAGATTCTCCAACATGGTTTGTATTTCATTAATCCTCTCACGAATGCTGTCCGAACTAAAGTGACTGGCTGCAATCAGATCTTCTCCAGTCTCGACAATAGCTTGAATTTGCTTTGCTCTGTTTTTGATTTCTTCTTCAGAAGCCTAAATATACAAGCGGAGATATTGTAAAAAAAATATTTTCTAAAATATTCTAACTATATAACTTAAACAAAAATTCTAACTATATAACTTAAATAAATAATTATCCAAAAGAAATTAAAGTTTGAATTCAATATTAATATGAATATACTCAATCTAAAATGAAAACAACAGTACAAATACATAACATTTCCATTAAATAGCGAGCTCATCTATAAAATGTTTTCCATGAATTAAACAGTAATAAAACAGTTTATATAGTATGGTATGCTTCACAATCATCAGTTATTGTCCAAAGACTTGGTAGACATTAAGCAAATTATTGCTAAGTCTAAAATAACAACCAAGCCTCGAGTGTAAAAGATTCTTTATTTCAAATTAATGAAGAACAGAAGGCACACTTGGTGTTTACAAGTTCAGCCAGCTCTTATTTCAAGATAACTTAAAGTAACAGTCAAATATAAACATTTAAATTCAAGTAAACTAGTAGCTGCAGGATACACTAAAGAATTTAACACAAAGTTCGCTCAAACTTAACCATAGATAGCATAGATATTCAAATAGCAGCAAGTTTATAATGCAAGACCGAAGACCACAAATCATAAAATTTATGCAAACTTATATGCATGCTGTAATGAAAATAGAAAAAAGAAGTGGCAGTAAAGGTCTAAATCATAATAACTGGTTTATTAATATAATAAAAGCCATTTAAGTTAAATTTAGATTTGACAAAGTGCTACTGATAACAGTGAAAAATTCATTAAAATGAGAGTTACTACAACAGTTATACAAATATCCAATAAAAGAAAGAATTATCTTAATCTGAAGAACTCAGTAAACAGAATTCTTTAACCACATTTTTAAAAATTCACTTTAAATTATAAGTTTTCATCTAAAAAGAGATGTCATGTCAAAGACTTCTTTGTTTCTTTAGAAATTTAAAAATTCATTTAAATTATAAGTTATTTTTAAGAAAAGAGATCTCATCTTAAAGACTCTGTATATTTTTTTATTTTTTATTTATTTATTTATTTTTTGCCGTAATTTTAACAGGGAAAAAAATTAACATTATATGTTGAATTTTACCCTCATTCAAAATATTGAAGTTAATGTTGTAGAGACATTAGGCTTTTTTTTTGGAAGCAGGCAAGATGAAAAATATGCAACCACTTTTGCTGGGAATCGAACCACAGACCTCTGAAATACTGGCTCAGAGTGCAGACCACTACACCACGAAGGCTCGCCAATCAGGCAAGAGAAATACCTTATATACTCCCCCTTTTAAAGGGCGAGTGGGGTGTTTAGGGTAACCAATCGCCAAATCCTGGGTGGAAAGACATCATCATCTGCCACCCTTTTAATTCGGGCGCCACTGTAGAGACTTTAGGATTTTTTGGAAGCAAGAGAGATGAAAAATTAGCAACCATCTTTGCAGGAATCGAACCACGGACCTCTGAAATAACAGCTCAGTCTGCTGACCACTACACCCCGAAGGCACGCTAGGAAGGCAAGAGAAATACCTTATATACTCTCCTTTTTAAAGGGCAACTGGCGTTTTTAGGGGATGCAATCGCCAAATCCTAGATGGGGAGAAATCATCATCCACCACCCTTTTAGTTCGGGCACCACTGCAGAGACATTAGGATGTTTTTGGAAGCAAGAGATGAAAAATGCGCAACCGCCTTTGCCGGGAATCGAACCATGGACGTCTCGATACTGGCCCAGCGTGCAGAACCACTACATCATGAAGACACGCTAGGAAAGTGAGAGAAATACCTTGTAAGGATCTTAAGTTTTACTAACGTTTATTTTTATTTTAAATCTTTACTATCACTTCTTATTTTTCTACTTCCGGCCAGAATTATAAGCGTTAAGGTTTTTATGCAAAGTTGTCTGGCGAACGCCAAGTACTTAAGGGTTGGCTTTTTGCCAAGCGAGAGAGAGGAAGGAGTTAGTCGAAGCAGGCCGCTTACCTTAGAAGTTTTACTCAGTTGCTGGTTGTCTACCTTTATCGCTCATGCGAGGTCTACCTTTATCGCCAAAAGGGCGAGAAATGAGTTGTTACCGATTTTCATATTATGTTTTTAAATTACTCGCACGTAAAACTAAAGTTGATGTATAATAGCGTTGTGTAAAGACTTAAATATTGTAAAAAGTTATTGTATAAATTTTATTTAAAACATTCTAGCAAGAAAGAAGTTTAGTCTGAAAGACTTTTGAAATGTAGTATTTCAATGTAGAAAGAATTGGCACTTGCTTTGAAAAGAATAGAAGTTAACAATGTACTACTAATGTATGTTTTCAAATGTGTAAAATTAACGGCATGTTGATATGTTATTATATACAATGTGAACTGTTATTTTAAATGTTAAGAAATACCGTGATATGGTAAAAGTGAATGTTAAAATTTTTTTTATTCGTGTGACTGTAAAAAGACTAAAGCATGGCGAATATGTGTTAAAGGTTGAATGATGTAGTTAGGCTCTCTGACGCTACACTTTAGAGTTAGACACTTTCAGAATAGTACCTCAGGGTTTAGAGTTGAAATTAGGGTGTGTTAAGAGGTCTTGTTATGCTGAATTTTAACACGTTAGTGTTTTGATTGTAGGAGGAAGTGTGGAACACGTAGACAGAAACACATTCGTGTTTGGTGTTCTTTTACAACACATGTCAGAGAGCACGGGGAGAGAAAATTAAAATAGTCATGAATGAAATAAGAATGTTAAGTGAAATATAATTATACATGTTACTTGCCATTTCATTGTGTAACATTTCATTAAACTAGTTTTCTTTCCAGATCTCTGGAAGGAACCAGATTTCAACTAACAACTCCTGTTTAGATTGTTAGAAAAAAAGTGTGTATCCTGGGAGCTGCTACTGTAAAAAAAAAAAAAAAAAAAAAATTTCTTTCTTTTAAATTTCTAGTTTCTAGCGAAGTATGTTTGTAAAAGATTGGCCTCGCGTTAGATTCTAAAGCTAAAAGTTTTCAACAAGGTCGTTTTAAACCTCAGTTTCAAACTAATTAACTCTGGTGGGAAGTATGTAAGGATCTTAAGTTTTACTAACGTTTATTTTTATTTTAAATCTTTACTATCACTTCTTATTTTCTACTTCTGGCCAGAATTATAAGCGTTAAGGTTTTATGCAAAGTTTGTCTGGCGAACGCCAAGTATTTAAGTTGTGGCTTTTTGCCAAGCGAGAGAGAGGAAGCAGTGAGTTCGAAGCAGGCCGCTTACCTTAGAAGTTACGCAGTTGCTTGTTGCCTTCCAGGCCAGAGGTTTTAATCCTCTTGATAAATTTTAAACATATTGTAGTGTTCACAGTTCTCTGTACTACATACGCTTCCTGTTAATATAAGGCCAATCTTCCACGTTTATTATTCTAAAGTTAAAATAGAGTTTAGTTTTATTTTTATACTTTTACGTTTTGACCCCAAGTAGCGGGTCGGTGTATTCTGAAGTACGGAAGTCATTGTAAATGGAGAAAAATAAAGGGTTTTGTATACCCTTCTTGTGTATCCTGTTTACTTCCCACAGTTTTGAACATAGCTTTAGTAAGCTCTCTGTTCCGAGTCAGGTCCTTGCATGTTCCCGAAGAAGGTTAGAAGGAACGTTGAACCTGATAACCTTATACAATCAAAAGGCTTTAATCCGGACATCCATAATCCAGAATGATCTATAATCCGGACCTCAAAGCTACAAACTTTCTGCGCATGCGTTACGTGTTTACGCATGCACATATGCATTTATGCATGCACATAATACGTTTACACATGCGCGTTTAATGTATAATGGACAGTATAAGCTATGCTAAAATTATCTAATTATCTATTTCAGTTAATGTTGCAGATTGCGTTGTTAATTAATCTTCGAATTGGATCCAGTTTATTATTTTTTCAGAGTGTTAGAGCAATTTTATAAAAGTAAGCTTGAACTTTCGATTATGTCAAAAAGAATTTCCGATTCTGGAGCTGCCAAAGGATCTACAAAGCGAAAGCATGTTTCGATGTCCATCAAACAAAAAGTGCCATTGCTGCAAAAAATGGATAAAGGCATATCCTTTGTTTCTCTAACAATTCCAAAATCTGTTTATCATTTTCATACTGCTCTGCGGGGGGGGGGGCAAACGTTGCAGCGCACAATGAACTGGAAGTTGATCTGTCAGTACTCTCTTTATCTTCAGGGCAGATGTTTTTATTTTATTTGGCTTATAATTCCTTACTAAATGTAGTATTTCATCTCGATGTACTCCATCTTTGATATGACTTAAATCAAATTCCTCATCCTTATAAATATTCATATAATATCATGAATACACATCAAGTAGTTTTTTCTGGTTTTCTAATTTCTCGACTATGCTAATGTATGTGCATTATTTATGCTTGTATGCATTGAAAGAAATGAAATAAAGTAAAAATAAATATTGAGCTTTTTTTTTTTTTTTTTTTTCAAATTTTGATACCTTGCGTTGCGGCGCGCAATGAACTGGAAGCTGATCTGTCAGTACTATCTTTATCTTCAGGGCAGATGTTTTTATTTTATTTGGCTTATAATTCCTTACTAAATGTAGTATTTCATCGCGATGTACTCCATCTTTGATATGACTTAAATCAAATTCCTCATCCTTATAAATATTCATATAATATCATGAATACACATCAAGTAGTTTTCTGGTTGCAATTTTCTAATTTCGACTATGCGTAATGTATGCTTTACGCATGTGCGCATTGAAAGAAATGATTAATAAAGTAAACAAATAAATATTGAGCTTTTTTTTTTTGTAAATTTTGATACCCTTTAGATCATAATTGCTCTTTATTTCATAAATTAAGGTTTCATATTTTTAATTTTATAATTTCTGCATGCCATCTTACCAGATTTAAATTGATGACCTATAATCCGGAAAAACCCATAATTTGGAATCGCCGAAGTCCCGACAAGTCTGGATTAAAGACTTTTGACTGTATACTCCCCTTTTTAAAGGGCGACTGCGATTTTTAGGGGACCCTGTCGCCAAATCCTGTATGTGGAGAGTCATCATTCATCACCCTTTCAGTTCGGGTGCCACTGTAGAGACATTAGGTATTTTTGATGGAGCAGAAAAGATGCAAAATTAGCAACGCCTTTGCAGGAAATTGAACCACAGACCTCTGGATACCGGCCCAGTGCGCAGAACCACTACACCACGAAGACATGCTAGGAAAGTGGCAGAAATACCTCATAATGTTGCCATTACATTGTAATACAAAGGTCAATAACTCAATATTAACAGATACAGACAAAAGTCATTAATTCGGACACATAATCCGGAATGATCTATAATCCGGACCTCAAAGCTACAAACTTTCTGCGGATGCGTCACGTTTACGCATGCGTGTAAGAACTTTACGGCTGCGAATATGCATGTGCACATGCGCAAAATACATTTACGCATGCGTGTTTAATGTATAACGGATGGTATAAGCTAAGCTAAAATTATCTAATTCAGTTAATGTTGCAGATTGCATTGTTCCTTAATCTTCGAATTGGATCCGGCTTATTATTTTTTGCAGACTGTTAGAGCAATTTTATAAAAGTAAGCTTGAACTTTCGATTATGTCAAATAGAATTTCTGATATATATTTACTAATATGTAAAGGATCTACATAGCAAAAGTATGTCCATTAAACAAAAGTGGAATTGCTCCAAAAAATGACCTAACCATTCCGAAATCTGTGTATCAATTTCACGCTGCTCTGCGGGGGGACGCCGCGGCGCGCAATGAATTGGAAGTTGATCTGTCAGCACTATCCTTATCTTCAGGGCAGATGTTTTCATTTTATTTGGCTTATAATTCTTTACTAAATGTAGTATTTCATCTCGATGTATTCCGTCTTTGATGTGATTTAAATCAAATTCCTCGTCATTATAATTTGCTTCCGATAGTGAAGAAAGTGACAGAGAGGTTATTGAAAACGAAAAAATTTTGATTGACAAATTAGTCGGTATTCTCGATACAGCAATTATAGGACTTGAACAGCGGAACTTTGTAACTGAACAAGAAATTATGTCTGTTTATAGAATTAAAGAGAAAGTATTATCACATAAAATGAAGCAACTTAAACAACTCACATTGAAAGAAATGTTTAATAAAGTAAACAAATATTAAGCTTTTTCTTTTTGTAAGTTTTGATACCCTTTAGATCATAATTGTTTTTTATTTCATAAATTACGGTTTCATATTTTTAGTTTTGTAATTTCTGCATGCATCTTACCAGATTTAAGCTGATGATCTATAATCCGGAAAAATTGATAATCCGGAATCGCCAAAGTCCTGACGAGTCCGGATTAACAACTTTTGTCTGTACATATTTTACGTAATTACATTCTTTGACTTCTTTTATTCAGTTCTTTATGATAGCCAGTAAATCACATTTCATTTCCTCTTGTTTTAAAAATCTTGCATTTTAAAGCAATTACTTTTAAAGCAATTAGATATCATTTTATTATATAAATCATCACTATAAGAGTACCAAGTTGAAATTTCATGTTTTTTAAATTTCATTTCCAGGTTGTTTACTCATCTGAGGGTCTTCCATATTCCTTTTTAATCGAGTTTAGAGGCTGTAGTTAATTGTACTGTTGGAGTATGGAAAAAAGCGATTTTTATATTGTAATAGTTGAAATAAAGATAGTTCTAACTTCTTTGTAAATAGAATTAATCTGAAGTTAAAAGATTATCACTGAATTTGCTTAATCTCTCAAAAAAAATATTAAAAAATATCACAAATGAAAAACTGTGTATACTTATTAAATTGCAATAAAATATATTTATTAAATTGAAATGTATGCTTAATTTTTTGTCTGAAAAAAGTAGAAAACATTTTATAAATTAAAATTCAGTTGTAGCAGCCAAACACAGAATGAAAATTAAAAGAGAAGTTTTAAGAATATACTAATAAAGAAAAATAAAACAATGTACACTTACATAATTATGATATGCTTTACCTATGACTAATTTCAATGGGAGATTCTAAAAACATCCAGTCTGTGCAGGAATTAACATCCAGTTTGTGCAAGAATATCAAATAATTCCTGTACAAAGTACATGGTCGTCTTATTTGCAGCCCACAATATCCACTCTTGCTGACATTACTTAACTTTTGATCATGTCAATTAATAAATCTTCTGTATTAGTTATTACATACAAAAGTTTTACGCAATAGTGTTCTAAAGATTTATATGGCTTAATAACTTCTTTGGATACCTGGATATAACTTAAATTTGTGCATGCAGCAATTGCACAATAGAAGAAATGAATAAGCATACAACTTAGAACAAATATAAGATTAACCTCCAGCGAAGGAAATAAAAATTTATATGAAAAAAGTGTCCTTTGGTCAACAGAAAACAAAAGGCAGAATGTAAGATCAGAAAATATATATTATTTGAAAGGTATAAGAGATTCAATGGCAAAAGAACCAACATAAACAACCAACCAACCAAAGCAAGGCAAAATGAAACTGATATGATAATATAAGAATTTGAATAACAAAACATATGAATGCAAATGAAAACATGAAGAAATTGCAAAACCTGAAATATATGCAAATATCTATACAAAAAAGATACAGAAAAGGAAAAAAAATAGGGGGGGATCTGAGAATCACGGGACTGCTGATGAATAGAAGTTAAAATGTTATGATCCTACAGAAGATGTGCAGCAAATAGCTACTGATCAGGGTCATCTTTAAGTAATAATGATAACTGAAATGTTTGCACAATGAATCTTTCGTTAAAAAGTTGCTATTATGCTTTGCAAGTACTCTCAGACAAATGGGATTTAGAAGGCTTGATGAAAAGAAGTATTCCTGATTAAATATAGACTGCTCTAACTGTATTTCTCAATATTTCACTTTATATTGACTGGAATATTGAAATTTCCCTTTTATTAGCCACAGATGATTTAGAAGAGGCAACATATTTGCATTACTCCCACAATTTTAAAATAAACTTTAAAAGCTGGTTACTATGTTCTGAAACAAATTTTAATTTGCAATTCAGGAATATGAATTTAATATGGAAAAAATGCTTCAAACCTTATTTTTGCTAATCAAAAGATGAATAGCAGTCAGATCATGTCCAATATCACCAGATGATAAAATCCTTTCTTTTTCCCTAATCCAAGCTTCCTCTTCAGCCATATCCCAAAAGAATTGCCAGAGTTTACGAGATTCAATTAAATGATTATGTCTGTCTGTTGCAAGCTGAACTAATTCTACATATGCTGCTTCAAGCTCTTCAATTCTTTCTTTGATGTACTGAGGATCGCAGGCTTGATAACCACCTTTAAGAAATAAAATAATGCATTAAAATCTGGCAGCTTTTAAAAATTCCATCAGGATTAATATTGCAATAAGTAAAGGATTTTAACTATTGATTAATTATTTGTGATTTGACAAATGGAAAAAGAATATTCATCTTGCAAAAATACCGATATATCAATATATTTACATCAGATTCTTATATTCTATTTGATCCTAAGCTGAAGATTCAGATAGCAGAACTTATAATTCACCTCAAATTTATTGGGCAATTTTAATTCAGTAATAATATTTTAATGTAGAAACTTTTTAATGGATTAAAAGAGACTTTAGGAATTTGAATATTTGAGAATTTAGGTATTTGAATATTTAAGAATGGTAAAAAGTCATTTTGGGGTACATACATATAAATGATTAAGATTTTAAATTCCTACCCTTGCTGCTTCTTTCAATAAAAGATTGAAGATGTTGAATAACAGCCTTGACATTTTCTCCCAATACATTAATATCTGCTTCAATAAGACTGTGTTTCTGCAGTAAATCAACAACACCCATCAAATGCTTACCAGAATCATCAGTAAGCAATCGAGCCTATGAAGAAAATATTAAATTTTCATCTCTAATCAAATAAAAAGAAAGAGAAGATTTCAAAAATTCATAGTAACAGTGACACAGACTTTAATGTCTTTCATGTTATCTAAAATATATAGCATTTCCTGGAAAGTCTGTTGAAGAGTAATGGAATCTTCTAACCGAGAACGACGTGCACGTAAGAGTTCTAGAAGATAATTCCATAACCTCAAGACATTATCTCTCCTAAATAAAAGGAAATAATGAATGAATCTGAGGATAACAGCAATCTATACACAATTGTAAAATTCTTATAAAGTACAGTGTAAAGATAAAAATTCTATTCCTAATAAGTAAAGACTTGAAATAATCTTGTTTTATCCAAAATATTATTGGACAATGCACACATGCTCTGGGCATTCATTTTCAGGAAGAACTTCCTCATATGATATTTCAAATATGTGAAATTTTATGCATTTTTTCAATTTTAAGCTTCAAAAATATAAAATTAAAAGCAGGAACATTTTCAGGAAGAACTTCTTCATATGATATTTAAAATATGTGAAATTTTATGCATTTTTTTAATTTTAAATTTCAAAAATATTAAATTAAAAGCAGGAACAAAATTTTAAGCTTAGTCATTTCATATTTTTTGCCTTTTTTTAAAATCTAGTACTAAACCACCTGTCTTACATTTTTAATAACAAGATATATTGTTTAATAAATATTTTAGATTTATTATTAGCCTTAATGGAAGGAAACTGAATCATTTCGTATTTTATTCATGCACTTAATTATTAAACTAATGAATAGATTAATTACATTAATTTGATCTTATTGTTATAATTTCATTAACTATCATTAAACTAAGAATTTAGATTCTTTCCCTTTCTCTTTTTTTAAAGTTTCTACCAGAAAATCAAGTATAATTTTATATTTTATATAAAATGTAATAAATTCAAACAATAAGAACAGAATGTTAAAAAAGGGAAATAAATTTTTATTTAAATGATTTTAAATGAAATAACATTGAATTATTAGATTATGTTCTGAAGTATTTTATATAATTCACCTCAATGTTAACTGTTGAATTGAAAAAATAAGAGGCATAGTTTCTGCAAAAAAAAATTTCTCAGGCAAAATCTCTTGCAGAAGCTCCTAACATAGCTTTGAATAAAATTGCAATCTGGTCCCAATTAATGTTACAGATAAATTCTTACTTGCAATGGCCATAGATTATACTTTTATTTTATAGCTGTTTTTACTTTACATTTTATCTTATACCTTTCAATATCTTCAACATACTAAATGAGCTAGCTCACAAAGTAATTAAAAATAATAATACTTTATAATATGAATTCCATTAAATATTTACATTTCTTAAATATGACTTGCATTATACTTAAAATTTGAACAGTGTCAATTATTTAAAAATTTTAACTTGATATTGCTCATAAATCATTCCTTCAGTGATAACATGTCTTTTAGTCATAAAATTCCCTATATACTCCATATATCATAAAATTCCATGTATAATGTGCAAACAATAGCTTTTTGCCACTAGGCTAGATAATTAACAAGTAACTATGCATAAGTAATTCCTTCATGAACTTGACCATTGTGAATTTAACTATCATAATGTATACCAATTAAAATGGTATCTCTATCTCTTTGTTTTTTGGTTCTACCAGAAAATTAAGTATAATTTTATATTTTATATAAGTCAGATGCATAACCTAGCAAAGTTGAGAAACTTTTTTAAAAAATTATTTTATGCAGTCCAGGTAGCATGCAAAAAATTAACCAATGATTAAAAAAAAAAAAGGAAGTGGAATAAAAACTAAAATTTACAAACATTTTTATAGCAGACTTTTAAATATGTGATAACATTTATTCAAAAATTACATAGATCATGATGGAAATAAAGATTAAATAGTTCATTTCACCAGATGAAGGCACAATATTTGTATGTGCATGAATGTAAATCTGTTTCTGTTTAAAATCACTTTAATAATAATTTGAAATCACAACTGTATATGATGAGAAATGGGAACATTAAAAATTTTGAAATTTATCCATATATAAAAGAATTTTCAGTTTATAAAAGTAATGACTGAGAAAATTTAATTTACATATCCTGTATTATAAACTAAATTTCTTTCATTCCTTTTCCAAGTGCAAACAATTATTCATCAGAGTATTATTTTTCTTTCACTTTCCTGTTTATTCTTCATTTTTTACTTCAATTACACATTTAATTTTAAAACATAATTTATTTAAAGATAATTATGTTTATGTCATTACTGATATATACATAATATAAATATTTAAAATATATCCAACCAATTTATATAAACACAATGAAACACTCCTGAAACTTATAATTTAGAGGCATTCCAATACATGAAAGTAATTTTGTCATGTGCAGCAAGTATATTTCACACTTAAACACATAGTCAGATTTGCATTATTTTTTTAAATGGGGAAAGAAAATTATCATTAAAATTAATATTAATATTAAGACTTGAACTAAGGAATATTTGAAAAAGTACCTAGCCTGTATTCTAGAAATATCATGATAATTCTCTGTTTCTAATTCTTGAGCTACAGCAACAACAGCTTGTACTCTCTCTTCATATGCATATATATCAGTTTCAATAGCTTCATGCTTTTTGGCAGCAGCTTCTACAGATGGGAGATCAAAACCAAAATTATCCTGAGATACAAGTCTCTGGTTTTCACTTAGCCAAGTCTCTCGCATTCCAGATTTACGATCAAATCGAGCAGCAAGTTGTTCCAGTTTTTCTTGTCTGAAAGAAACATATATTCCAAATGAGCTAAGATGTGAAAAAGGACCAATAATATGACATTAAATAAACAACATCAAAAGAAAATTAATTAGAGATACTTTGATACAACTTTATTGAAAAATTCAATAGCTAAAAAATGCATAAAGATTGCATAAATAATATAAAAATGATTTTAACTACTAGTTTAAAAAATGAAAACAAAGCCCTTTTATTCAGCATTTTATTTCCATTTTAAATCTTATACACTCAAAATCTACTTTTTTCCTCCTCTTGTCTTTAAATATTTTAACCAATGAAATTTTAATTTGTTAAGAACTATCAGTCTCTAGTTCATGTCCATCAACGGTTGAGTGCCTAATTATAAAATACTGGTGATTTGCATGGAGTTTGATAACTTTAATAGGCTGAATGTATGACATTTTCATGATTTTCTTTATGTGTACTATAAATAAGAGCCAATTTATCACAGAAAATCTTCAACTCAAGACATCCACTACCTTTAGATAACCCCTATGTTTTAATTAATAAATTATATCTCAAACTTTAACAGGGTTCAAAGCCACATTTTAGTTAAAAAAAATAAGCACCTATAAGCACTTTTCAAGCACATTTTAAGAAAAAATATAAGCACCTGTCTAATTACATTATACACAATTGCATAACCTTAAAAATTAGACTCGTAATTTAAAATATGAGAAATGCAGTATTTATTAAGAGAGAATAAGCATTACCTCAACCATGGAAAATAATTACTTTTTTTTTAATTTTAAATAACAGTTCAATTTACAGAACTAGTTTACAATGAGAGAAAAAAAAAACTATGCAGAACTAAACTATATTACAAGATTTAATGATGAAATTTCAGTTCAAAATAGAGGAAATAAATAATAATAAGGCATATTTATTCTATTCGCTTGGAACTTAATAATAAATACAATTTATTTTTCCACTCATATTGATATTTAACTAATTTAAATCTAAATTTTGAACATTTTCTAAATTTTCATCGTATATCAGTTTTTCCTTAACAGATATTGCAAGCAAAGTAATTTAAGTAAAAAGGACGAACATTTCTAAAATCAGAAGACAGAAATTTGCTTTATGCAGTCATCCTTTAACAGTAAAAGCTTAACTACCCGCATACTTGAAAATTGGCGAATATTCGGACAGTCGAGCGTAACTTGAGAAAGAGAAGCGGAGGGGGGGATAGACTGTAGCGGTTCTTTAGATTTTTCCGCTAAATAAATGCTTTTGACATTTTGATATTGCATCATATAAAAACAGACCAATGTAACAGAAAAATATTCTGCTTAGCAAGCGCAGCAAAACTCTTGTAAGTGTTCATAAACAAATCTCGGACCGAACATCAAAATTAATTATCTCTGCAAAATATCGCAAGACTCAAAGGAGGAAAAAAAAAAAAAAAAGTTATTGCACAATACGTGCACCAGAATTCTTCCCTACATGATATTACGCAATCGGATTCAACAGCTGTGGGTATTGGGAGAATAAAGAACTAAATAAAGGAAAAGAAAGAGTGTCATACCAATCTGGAGTGTTTTTCATTCTAATTTTCAACAGACTGTGTTAAATTTCCGGAATGGAATCGTTCTTCACTTGGGTTGGTAGACCGCAGAACTTTTAGTCCTATTCAATCCAGATTGGAAAGTGACAAAAAAAAAAAAAAAAAAAAAGTCTGTTGCTTGTTTACAGCGAACTGTAAGTTTCAATATTCGAGATTTTGCGGAAAAAGGGGAGAACCTCCCAACCTTCGTACTTTATTGGCCCAAAAAATGAAATTATTTTGACTATTCGATTACTTTCCCTTTATTTAAAAAAAAAATTAAATTTTTAAAAATTTTTTAAATAAAGGGAAAATTTTCCCTTTTTATTAAAAAAATTAAAATCCATTCCGAATATTATTCCTTAGAAAGCTAATCGGTGTTAAAATACAACCATTTTTGGAAGTTTACTATACTTCAGCAGTTACTGCAACTATGTTATTATAAACATTCATACATATACTCATACTATAAGCATAACGATCATTATAAACACGAATATGAACTGACCAAGCATCTTGATAGAAATTCAAACGTGTGTAGTATTTGGGTGGGAGGAAAAGAATGCCGAATGTACCGGAATTTTCTAATGCTTTCGCAATTCTTTGGCCAACAGAACGACGGGCACCTGTCTGTACTCTCAGCGCACACCAAATTTTATGTTAATTCAGAGAAAGGGGGAAAAGCTACTTCCGGGAGTATGATTCACCATCTGACATTCCATATTAGGAAGAAAAGTTGTTTATTTAGTTTCGGCTTTGGTATGGGGAAAAATTGCGCGTTCATTAAAAAAAAAGCACTAAAAGCAACAAATAAGCACTAAAAACAAAAAAAAATAAGGGCTTTAAAGAAAAAGTAAGCACCTATAAGGGCCTTTATATTTTATTTTCAAATATAAGGACTTATAAGCACTTATAAGGACCACTACGAAGCCTGTGTAAGCTTCTCTTAAATCCTTAGCTTAAGTTGTTCTTAGAGAAAGTTAAAATGATTTAAATTAATTCAAGAATATTGAAGCTATTAATTCAAGAAAACTCAACTGACTCGAAACATTAAAATTCAAGAATATTTTTTTTTTAATTATAGAACTATCAACTTTTCTGTTCATGACTTTTGAGGGAAATTCCAAAACAATTTATAGCAAAAATTAAAATTTAACGGGTTCAGATTTTAAGATTCACCCAAAAGGATTTGTTAAAGTTTTTAATGCTCATACTCCTACCAGTATGTTGTTGCACTCACTCCTGCTAACCCATTTCTTTTTGTCATTTTAGTTTTATTATTCAGCATTATTGTCTTCACACTTACGCTATACACAATTCAACAGCAAAATTACAAAAGTTTTAACAGCAGCATAGCAGTATATATTTAGAATTTCTGATACTGTGTTAAGTGTTGGCATACATTTTTCTATTTTTTCAATCTTTTCTCAGTTTATCATATGAATGTTCAATTTCTTAGTAAGATGGCTTTTTACAGTTACAATTTTTGTCTTTTTACAGCTAATGCTTTATCTGTTCACTTTATTTATTAAATAACATGTTATTTGCTCTTATGCCACAAAAAATACATCATCACAAAATACTTAGAAACAGCATATCTTTAGAATTTCCAATATACAACCTTGCACGCTAGAAATATATATATGCAATATTTTGGCAGTCGGGCACATGAATGAAGCTTGGCATGAAACGACACAGAAGAATTAAAATTTATAGCTCCATACCTTTATTCAATACAAAAAGCATATTATCATTCTTTACTAAATAAAATTAAATTCACTGTGTCATAGTATTCTAACCAAGGGAGGCAGATGAGAGCGGCAGCATAGATCCTAACAGCAGTATAGGCAGAAGCGGTCTCCCACGCAAAATGGGGCGAGTTTTCTATTTATAGAAGCGGTTACGTAATAGGCTCAAATGTTCTTGAATATACTGGTTAGGCTTGAATATACTGAAATTGTGGAAAGTTAATTAGAGGTTGCTTGTTCGCAAAGAGGAAAGCCATCCTATTTTTTATATTTTTCATATATATATATATAATGTACAGTGTTGTCACTGCTGGTCTTTAAATCACTGGGTTTATTCGAGAATTCATTAAAGTTTTACAAAATATCAAATATAAAATTCAAAATTTGATATTCAAAATATATATATCAAATGTTGTATGATTTTAAATTCACTTGTTCGAAATCAAGTTATTAACGAAAATGCTTAATCAGAATGAGTTCTTTGGTGCTCTGCATTGGTTCTGGATTCCTTCACTTCAAGGAAATATTTGGCCTAACGTAATTTGCCAGTTTGATATCACCTTATTACTTGAGTAAAGGACGAAACACCTTCATATTTATTTATTACTTATTGTTCACTGAACGGGAGTTGGTTTGTTTTCTAATTTCCGATCAATGGCAATGATTACTTGATTTTAATTTAATTTCTTTTTCCAATTGAAATTTTGTTATTCATGATTTAATTCAAGTCCCCGTAAAACATTTTTAACAATTTACATTCAAGTTACATTAAAACAATTTTCGGAATTAAACTTACTACCTATGGGTTCACTCTTTTTAGATACTTCTACTAAAATTAATATTAGGAGATAATATAATCAATAATTCTTTAGTAAATAAATTATATATATACATATGCAGATTCTTCATTATTCAATTCTGTAAAGTAATACAGGATGACAATATTTTGTGACAACAATTTGAAAAGTGATACAGCCGTTTATACTGGATGTAACAAAATCCTGTTTTGAGGTAAACAGCCCATTTGGGTTACTGCCCTTTAGGGTCAAAACGGTATTTTTTATGAAACATTATATATATTTTTCAGTCAGCATAGCTTTTGACTGGTTCATGAAAAAATGTGAAGGACCCTCAAATTTACCACAAAATTTACAGAATGCCATAAGCAGCCAATCAGGTTATGTTAAGTTACTTTTTAACGTGGTAAAGTCATAAGGGGTATCCGCTCGAGAGAACGAATGTCTTTGTGGAAGACATTCTGGTGGAAACTGACTTGTATTTACATTATGCATGGGAAAAAACATGAAAACCTACCATGCAGCCAGCTCGTTCATTTGATTTTGAACCCAAGCTAGGCTGAATTACTAATATTCAAAGGTCTCAATCATTCTGCTAGTGGTAAGTCCAAGAAGCCATTCAGAAATTTGAAAAAAAAATTACAGGCATTAAATTAGTAAAACTATATATTCTAATTTTTCACTCTTTAATTACTGCCTGTTTCTTTAATTATAACATATATATTTTAATTTCAGAGCATTTTACAATGATACAATAATAAATATTCACTATGCACATATCTTTATTAAGAGTTTTTCTACAGTATTCCAAATATAATTACACAAATGTTAAATAAAATTTCTTTTCAAGATGTAAAATATACAATAAAATTCTTTGCCAAGATGTTTCACTTTTTCAATTACAGCACAAAACTAGAAAAACTATATTAAAAATTTCATTTACGATTATATTAATGTTGGGTTGGTTATACAAGGCCATGACCTTAAGTTACGAAAATGAAAAAGAAATGTATTTTGGTTTTTGTTAAGAGCTTCTGTCTTAGTACGAGACTGGCTATGAAGCATTTTAGATACGATCTAGCTCTCATTCTGAGTTTCAGAATGAAAGTAAAGTTCAGTGAGTGGTGCACAAGCGGCTGCACAGCAATGTAAAAAATATTTTCTCTCTATACACTTATTAACTGCTGCCCTAAGTGCATGGAACAAGATGGGGATAATATTCAATATTGGTAATGTGATTATTTTGGGTTTTATAATAACTATTCTGTGAACGACAACAACAAAGTTCAGATTTTCATTGGACAGAGTAATATAATAATGCTTCATTTCTAATAAAACTAATACATATTGCAACTCTTGAAACTAGCACCTGAAATTTGATAACTAATATGATACAGAATGTTTCAAATCAGTTGCTAATCCTCAGAAATATTGTTGATAAGACACAGGATTCATAATTTGCTTATGCTGAAGCAGAATATTTAGGTTTTAATAACTCTATTAATTTCTTATGTTCAGTTGTATTCAGGAGAAACCCCAAACTAAAAATGATGGTTCAAATGTTAAAAAGTGCATTTATTATTATTTGAAAAGTTATTGAAAAATTTAGGTAAAGTAGCACACACAAAGACATTGCAGGAGTATTATTGTAGTGGGTCATTAATTGCATATACTTTAAAAGCATAAAAATATATCTTTCATTTTTTAGAGGATCTAGAAGTGAAAATTAGAAAAGCTTAGAGTTGGAGAACCTTGTTTAGAAGTATTAATAAAGGTATTCTTTGCTGTTTTAGGTTTGAGTTTTCTCTGCTTTTGATATCACAAGAGTATATATTTAGACCGAATGCCCACTGGTAAAAAGAAATAATAAACATTCAAATTATTAGGCACTGAATTATGTTTCAGCAATGGCCAAGTTTCAAGGCTGCGAGATTTCAGTGATCCAACAATATTTAGAGTTACTTTAAGAAATAACAAACCTTATCAGTTCTTCTCTGAGAGCAAGCTCTCTTTCATGTTCTGCCTTTTCTAAATTCTCCCAAGCTCTGTTGATATCAGATATCATTTTCCCTTCAGGTGGATAATACATTCTTTGATTACTTGTTCTCATTCGACTCTGAATTGTAAATAACAAAATTTCAAGATTTCCTTTCTCCACAAACCTGAAAGTAATAATATTGCATACAAATTAGATATACAACATGAAAAGTTAGTAAAAATGAGAGTTATCTGTATTAAATTATCACTTACGAATATTTGAAAATTGCAAAAACAAAAACAGCTAAAAAATTAACATTATATTTTAGCATTCCACAAAATAATTCTCTTTTCTATATTTAAAGGGAACTTAATTCATAATTCATTATTCTTTGCATATAACAAGACTTAATATCCATTTTTGTATACGAAAGGAAGTGGCAATTAAAAGCTCCTCAATTTAAGCACTTTTTCAGCTATCATCTCATTAAATTTTCTACAAACATATTGGTTTTTTTCTTTTTACTTTTTTGCTTTACAGTAGCACTGTTAGCAGTATTGCAATAATTTATAAATATTTTAGTTATATGTATTAACATTAAGTATGAATAATTTAACTTTTTTGTACTTTTGAACATTAATTCATAATTTTTTTAAAAAGATCTCATATAATAAATGCTTAAAACTATCAGAATCATGAAGACGAGCCAATTAACTCACTTGGGAGGTTTCTCCACAGTTCTGTAAGAGCTGAATGCTGAAAGCTGCTGCTGTACTCCATACAAGGAGTTAGCAAACTTTCTATCAGATAAAGCTACAATAGTTTGCTTAATCCATTTCAGAAGATTAGAAGTCAAGGTTTCATATTCATGTATCATCTTTTCATTTTGCATTGCTTGTCCTACAACCTGAAATAAAAACATTTAATGCATCAAGCATTTCAAAAATGGATCCAAGCAATTTGAGGGGTGTTCAAGATGAACTGTCATTAAACTCTTAAATAGCAATCTGAAGAGGAAAACTAAAATGTGAAGACACTACTACCACTAAAAAAAGTACCATATAGTATAGCATTCCCATAAAAATCATTATGGGGCATTCATTTTTACAACTGATTGTAAACATATTTAGTTTCAAAGTCTGGAAATTTCTTTAGACGTTTTCACTACCATTTTTGCCTTTACTTGGCAGGGCATTAAAAAAATGTATTAGAAGAATCTGAAGTTGATTTTTTTTCCCTTTAATTTCACTCAGTGATATTCCTTTATGATTTGCTACTGTGTAATATTCTTATATTTAGCATTCTGAAAATTTTTTCATTTAAGTAATTCATATTTTCAGGAGGCCCACTGATGCAGTGGCTAGAGCATCGCACAGCAGCACCACAGGTCCGGGGTTCGATCCCCGGGCTAGGCATGGTTGACTCAGCTTTCCATCCCTTGAGTAGGTCAATAAAAGGAGTACCAAGTTCACTTGGGGACTAAACATAAGGGGTCCTGCAACAAGCTGAGCACTTGTTCAGGGCATATGCTCATGCACCCCAGAGCCCACAGCCTAGAAAGCAGATATCAGGGCACTGCGGGCCATGGCTCTCTAAGGGCTGTTTTGCTGCTAAGTTTAGTTTAGTTTAATTCATATTTTCAAATGCCAAAGATAGTTGGCAATATTCACATGCAGTGTTATTACTTTAGAATTATTATCTAACAGTCATACAAAAAAAAATTTTTTTTGAAAGAATTTTTAATTGATTGAAAATTTTTAGAACTACAACTACCTGCATAGCAGTTCTCATCATTTATTCTATTAATATCAGAAACTTTTTCTTAGCTAATATTTCATTTTTACATACATATACATTTAAATATTTTACTTTTCAATTTGTCTACAACACCTAAATTTTGAAACAACTTTAAAACTAAATTTCTTCATATATTTTTGTCATTTAAGAGCAAATTATTTTGCATTTCAATTTTTTAGAGTAAATATAAACCTTTACTAAATATAATTATATGGACCGAGGGCCATATATGAAGTTAAATTTCATGATTTTTACAAAATTGAGTTCTCAAATTTAAAAAATGCCATATCATGAATATTTTCCCCATTTAAACACTTTTGTAATTGGAGTACATAATAATGTTCCTCACTTCTTTGGATATAATAAAATATCAAGGAACCTAGTGAACTCAGTAGCGACTTATTGCTAAGTTCAAGCAGATACGAGAAGAGTTAAAATACCACCTTTATTCAGTCACAAAAATGATAAAATGGCCCCTTCTTGGGCTTTCAGAAAAGCCTCATTTGGGCTTTTAAATCAGGATAAGTTACATGAAACTAAACTAATACTAACAAAAATAGACTTAAGACAAAGCTAGATACAAATATCTACTGTAGTTGGCTCTTGATTTAAACTAGTTGGCGATTATCAGCAGGCACGTATAATATAGCCAAGCATAATAGATTCAAGAATAAAATAGCCAGAAGGCAAACAGGTGCCACTAAAGACTCCTAGAGACCTTCTCTCTTGAAGTAAGTAGAACTTCCTTTAAATACTATTCATAACTCATTTGCATTCAACACAATTCTAAAAACTCATTTTGGCAGGGAGTTGTAAGTGAGAAACAAGAACTGGAACGAAAGGGTTTCAAAATTAATATAACTGTTATAAAATTAAAATACACTTTACAACATGTTTATAACTAATAGTTGTGAAAATAAAGGCACATAAGGAATTTTGCAGATATGCTGTATATGCATTGAAAATAAATTCATAAAAGATGTCTTACTGAATCATTGTATAAAGTCAAAAGTCGTTAATCCGGACTCGTCGGGACTTCGGCGATTCCGGATTATCGATTTTTCCGGATTATAGATCATCAGTTTAAATCTGGTAAAATGGCATGCAGAAATTATAAAATTAAAAATATGAAACCATAATTTACGAAATAAAAAACAATTATGATCTAAAGGGTATCAAAATTTACAAAAAGAAAAAGCTTAATATTTATTTGTTTACTTTATTAAACATTTCCTTCAATGTAAGTTGCTTCGTTTCATGTGATAATACTTTCTCTTTAATTCTATTAAACAGACATAATTTCTAGTTTAGTTACAAAGTTCCGCTGTTCAAGTCCTATAATTGCTGTGTTGAGAATACCGACTAATTTGTCAATCGAAATGTTTTCGTTTTCAATAACCTCTGGGTCACTTTCTTCACTATCGGAAGCGAATTATAATGACGAGGAACTTGATTGAAATCATATCAAAGACAGAGTATATCGAGATGAAATACTACACTTAGTACGGAATTATAAACCAAATAAAATAAAAAACATCTGCCTCTGAAGATAAGGATAGTGCTGACAGATCAACTTCCAATCCGCAGCGTGAAATTGATAAACAGATTTCGGATTTCAAAACATACTTTCGCTTTGTAGATACAAATTACATATTAGTAATATATATCGGAAATTCTATTTGACATAATCTTTCTAATCTATCATAATCTAATAATGACGTTTCGCCCCCCCCCTCTGCCGCAGAGCAGCGTGAAATTGATAAACAGATTTCGGATTTCAAAACATACTTTCGCTTTGTCGTAAATATATATCGGAAATTCTATTTGACATAATCGAAAGTTCAAGCTTACTTTTATAAAATTGCTCTAACAGTCTGCAAAATATAATAAGCCGGATCCAATTCGAAGATTAAGGAACAACACAATCTGCAACATTAACTGAATTAGATAACTTTAGCTTAGCGTATAACTCCGTTACACATTAAACGCGCATGCGCACAAACATATTCGCAGCTGTAAGGGTCTTATGCACTCTCGTAAATGCCTGTGCGCATGCGTGAACGCGACGCATGCGCAGAAAGTTTGTAGCTTTGAGGTCCGGATTATGGGTGTCCGAATTAACGACTTTTGACTGTATCAATAAACTCCATGGGCACAATTTACTTTTAAACTATTTCATTTTTCTTGCATACAATTACAAATACGAGCACATACTTATCATACTCACATTTCCAATACGACGACCCTGTACAGTATCTGCTTTCATTTTTGAGAAATAATGATAATAAGTTACAACGTATGTAATTATGGATTTTTCATCTGGATATTCCACAAAAATATCTATGGAAAGAGAAGTGTTATTGTATTTAAGAATAAAAACAGAATTTTAATCATTGATAATAATAAAAATTGAATTTTAATCACTGATAACAGTAGCAATTTAAACTCATATATGTTTAATACAGACAATCTGGAAAACAACTTATTTTTTAAACTTGATATTTCAGGAAAATATACATATTGGGGAAAATACTACCACGCAAAATTTTTCTTAGGGTTAAAAATTTATATAAAATTTGCATAATTTAAAGAGCTTAATACAGACTTTGTTATAAATTTCTTTTAAAAATATTTATTTATCCTTGAAAGAAAAATTCTAAATCAGCCAGGAGGGTATCCCAGTACATTAAAATACACGAAGTAAGGCAAAAGCTTATTTAAAAGTGTAAGCATATATAATACAAAAATTATTTTATGAACATAACATTTAGTATAGTTTCAGGAAAATTGCCAAAGAGAAAGAATTTATTAACATAGGAAATGCAAAATAATGTTTAGAATTTAAAAAATGCAATGGAACTGACAATCAGATACAAAGAGATATTCTAAAATAGAACAAATATGTCCCCCCCCCAATTCTAAAATTTTCTATTTACAAGCTTTATGATTTGTATTATATGAAGCCACTATTAAAAAACATTAAATCTGGCCCAGAAATATAAATAATCAATGATCCTGTTGAAGATAAATTTAATTATACTAAGAAACATAAGTTTTTTAATTTATATTAGAAATCATAGATCATTATAAAACAAACCTTCTGCATCAAGAAGTTTCATTAAACCCAATCTTTGCTCAGCAACTGTGAATGCATGATTCAGATTATATATGGCATTATTACGTGACAGTTTATCATACTGTATTAAGTCTGGCCTGAAATTTGTAGTAAGCAAAATGTTATTATAACAGTATCTACTACAGTGTAAAAGTATAAATTAAGAAAAATTCATATAAGATAAGCTCGGTTAGATTTTAGCTATCAAATACACTAAAATTCAATTACTTTAGCTACTGAAATAAAAGTGCTTAAAAACATTGCAATTATTAAATTTTAAAAAACTGGAATATTAACTTAGCCAAAAGATAAGTTTTTTAACTAATGTTTAAAACTTTATTTTAATTTTTTATAAACTAAGGGAAAATACAGAAAATTACATTATATTCAATTATATCCAATACTGCATTAAAAAAATTACACTATCATAATCTTAACCTAGAAAGAGACAACTTCTTAAAGTGCACTATTATTCTCAAATTACACTATTTTATGCAGTAAGTATTCTAAGCAATACAAATATTTCAATAAACCACAAATTTATATCATCACTCATTTATGCTTGAGAATTTTTTTTAATATAAGCTACCAATATAAACAGACTTATCTTTCTAAAAAATATGAATTCTTTCATGTATTAAATGTATTAAATGTGGTTTTTCTATAGTTTATTGGCAAGTAGTATAGTTATCTTCAGCAGGATATATCATATAACATTAATTATTATTTATGGTGCAAAATATTATTGAACAATTATTAACATTCAAACATTCTTCATTTTTAAAACCTAAAACTCTTTTTTTTTTTTTTTTTTTTTTTTTCCCTGCATGAAATCTATGATTCCAGGATGATCTTTATAAAAAATTTGTCCGACAAATGTTTTTCATTTATGATAACATCATTATTTCAGTTGAAGTTGTCACAAATTCTGAAGAGCGGACTTTTAAATTCAGCCAAAGAATGGAAGCAATAAATGAAAATTTATTTAATTTAGTTCAGAAAATATATTGGATTCATTAATTACAAGTTTTCTTGGAAAATAATTTCTTTCATTATAAAAGAATTCTGAAACTATGCTTTACCTTTTCAAACATAATTCATAATTTCTCTTTATTTAGTAATTTAGATTTTAAAAAATGTACAAAATAAAATTCAAAGGTAAATAATATTTATACTCTTATTGCTCCCAAGAGTATTTAAAATGAAAGTTTAGGGATCAAGTTTCTATGCCTTATAACACTGTGAACTATTTTATGTGAAATTTACATTCTACATTAATGGATGTGTTATTATTGTCAGTTTATAATGATTTTTAGAATAAGAAATTATAAGATTGAGATTTTTTTCAAAAAATGGATTTATACTATTGCACATAGCTGGTATTTAGACAGAATTCTAACCTATCATTAACTGAAGATCTAAAAGAAATATATTTTCTCAGTGAGATGTCTTAAAATTATTAAAAATTGCTATAATTACTCCATGCAATATTAAATAAAAAAAGTCCTTGAATTGTGAGCTTTATAAAAACAAATTAATATCTTAACACAAATATAATAAAAGATATACCTATGTTTGTGTATCAGAGCATTGAACGCTAAGCCATCTCTCCAACTTGTTGTAAAATTTCTGACATTGACATTTGGATATCCAGCAGTTTTCATCTGACACCACAGCAGTAAAGCATCTTTAGCAGATTTAGTTTCTTGATTGTCAATTTCTTCAATAGTTATGTCTTGAATCTTTTTATAGAAAGAAAATTAATGATGAGAAAGTGATACCTATTTATAAACACAGTAAAATTCTCTTGGCACAGCTCTCTCTAAGATGATCATCACTAAAAATGGTCACTATTTCTGAATTTATGTATGAATATCAATATTAAATATCATCTGTGCAAGACAGCAACATTCAGAGAAGTATAACATCATCTTGAATCCCGGGTGGCCACTTTGTAGAGGGTTCACTGCTCTTGCAAAACATAAAAATTCTACTCTAATTTACAGGATATATTCATTCTAACTAATTAGAATATGTATTTATATGTTTAAGCTCACACATATAAATAAATATGAGATAGTATTTTGTTGCTAGGCAACTTAATACAAATTATTCTTTTACAAAAATTCTAAGTAAAATGATACAGGGACAACAACTCTGCTCTTGCAAAACATAGAAATTCTCCTCTCATTTTCAGGATATATTCATTCTAAGTGTGTGTGTGTGTTTGATTATGGCAAAGCCTCATCTGCCTAAGGGGAGGGATGTTTTCGTGGAGGACTTTCTAAGGGAAACTGGCTTGTATACACGGTACACATGGGGAAAACCACGAAAACGCCCATGCAGCCAGCCCGTTCATGGGATTTGAACCTCGAACCGAACTATCAGTGTTCAGCAACTTTATCGCTCGGCCGCTGGTGGGCCATACTCATTCTAAGGAGTTAGAACATGTATTCATATGTTTAAGCTCATACATATGAATAAATATGAGATAGTATTTTGTTGCTAGGCAAGTCAATACAAATTATTCCTTTTAAGTAACTAAAATGATACAGGAACAACAAATTCAATTACAAGCAAAACATAATCTTTGTAATAATAAACTAATTATTAAACTAAATTAAACTAAAAAATTCTAAATTTAATGAATGAAACTCAGGATTTTTCTTCAAAGATAAAACAGCAGATAAAAATCTCTGAAGCGAATTTGATTTTATATATTTGACTATTTCTTCAATTAAAAAAGGAAATCAGTTTCTCCCAAATTAGACAACAATAATAAAATTAAAAATCAAATAATATTAATGAAATTAATATTGTATGATTAATCATTGATTAGTGAAATTAATACTGTGTGACTGTTGTTAATCAGCTGAACAATTTGAGAGTATTCTATGCTATAGAAAAATGCATGTGTAAATGTAGATACAAGAAAACTTACTTGGAAACGAAGAATAATTGTCCATATTAAACCCAGAGTTAAACGTGGATTCCCATCAACAACATCATGAGATCCTAAATTTTCTAAGTGAACTCGTTGATCTCGCAAAAATTGCAAAGCTTTATCTACATTTTCAAGACAATGAATTCTCATCTTTCCTCTTGTAGGTCTTGGCTAAAAAGGAAAAGATCGGTGACAACTAAAAATTATCAAGTAAAAAAATGAAACTGAAATTTTTAATTTCTATGTGTCTCTATGCTCTGTATGCAAACTTAACATGCCAAAAAAAAAGCAAAATAATAGAAACTAAACAATATGCTCTGTGCCCATTAGCATTATCACCTATAAATATGGAATCTGTGTTTAATGCAGCAGTTATTAAAAAAATATGGATGTATAATTTTATTTTGATACCACCCAGCAGTTACTGATTCATCAAAAAGCTGCACAAAACTTAATACTACTACAACCATTCATTAGTCATGTTCCAATATGCTTATTGTGCAGTAATGGCTCTCCACAATTCCTTCCATAAACATAAGTAATTTTTTTAAAATGTTAATTCAATATATGTAAATCCAAACAGGATATGTTTTAAAAGTTTTGATTATATTTTCTTCTTTAGTTGTTAATTAAGTCTAATCTTGGTGGAACATATTTGAAACACTAATGAATCTTATCAGCAGCCAAAAGAGGAGATAACGTCAAAATCTTAGAAACATGTTTTGTCAAGATTTGCATACATTGTACCAGTTCTCATTGTAATCATTTTTTCCATTTTATCCTGGCATATCTTTTAATCAGATATCGAAATTATAATTAATTACCTAGATGTTTTCATCAAAGGTACAGTGAACATAATTTTATGGTTATAGTTAATATCAAAGAAAGTACATTCTAATTTTTTCCTCATAGATTTGACACCTTTCCAGAAATAATGATAATACAGAAGACGAAAAAACTCACCAGACGCTCACCAGAAAGTATTTCTAATAATTTCATTAGCATTTTCCCATCTCTCATGTCTGCATACAAATCTGTGATCCGACAATTTGCTCGGACGAGATGAGAATTTACCCATTTGCAAAATGTTTTTTTCTGGACATTTTCTCTCTCATCTAAAAAAAAAAAAAAAAAAAAAAAAAAAAAAAAAACCTTCATGAAAAATATTATGCAAAAACAAATTAAAAATTCATAATATCTTCTACCTGCTGCCCAAAATATATATTTCAGCATAATACTACATAGAGTGTAAGTATTGTAGGTTTTGAAAGAAAAAGCGTGATCATTTATAATTTTTTTACATGCAGATCATAGTTTCAGATATTTATATATCAGGTATGCTGACATATGGCATACAGTGTATAAGCTTTTAGGTTCACCTGCACCTTTATTCAAATGATATTTTTCAGTTTCAAAGATAACTAAACTTTTATCAAAATCAGAATTTTGATTTAAAACTGAACTTTTTAAGATGAAAAGTAGTAATGAAGCATAGAAATATAAATCAACAGTTTTGCTGAAGTGAATTGAATTTAAAATGTTTATAAATTAAAAAACGAAGCTATCCTGCACAAGAAACACTTACTTCACAATAAAATGGCCTTAAAATGTTTATAAAGAATTAATTCTCTTTACTGATAGCAACTTAAAAAGGGATACAAATAAAATGGATGGGACAAAACATATCTCTATTAACATCATTTAAATGCAATTGGTAACATATAAATGCTAAAAATATGGTATTTTCTAGCAAATCTACTTTTAAAATTACAAATTTCCTATAGAGCAGATTAAAAATAACATATGTTGCTATTATTGCCATGAATTCTGAAAAAAAAAAAAAATCTAGTTGTTCAATAACAAATATAATTACAATAAATATGAATAATCCATATTTGTCAAACACACAGAAAAAAGATATTGATGTTGATGAAAGATTTGAAAGATCTCTTCTATTTTAGGTATTAAATTATGTAAATGTTTGTCTTTAACTACACTTACATAACTTTATACCAAATACACTTCGACAACATTTTGTACCAAATGCATTTAGAAAACAAAAGTCTAGGATGTAGTTAAAAACTTGCACGTAATGAAGAATTTTCCATCAGCAAAATAATGAAGTTTAAGCATAAAATTGAATGAAATGTTACATATTATTCTGAGAGAAACTGAACCAAAATGTAAGATACTGTATTTTTATAAATAAAATTACTAACTAGTATTTGTAGTGTCAAATTCAATGTAAAATAAATTTTTATTTCTGAAAGTAAAAAGGATATGCATTAGTATATTGCTTCATATATATAATACTGTGTTTTTTATCTCTTTCACTTAACATGCACCTGTTATGCATCTTGGTTTGGTACTTGATAATGTTTATTTCCCATTCTCATTTAATGAGCAAAATTGGTTGAATAAATAAGTATAAAGTAAAGATTGAAGTACAAGTATAAAATACCGGTGCAACGCAAAGATTTACCAATAATACTTCCCTGGAACTATATTAATTCCAATATTTCCAATAATATTAGATTACAATTTGAAAAAAAAAAAAAAAAAAAAAAAAAAAAAACTTAGGTTATGGCACAGTTTTAAAATGTCTAAGTGCTACTGAAACATGCAAAACATTAGCTAATTACTTCTTTCAAAATAAATCAACAAGCAAATAAATAAAACAAAGTAAATATTATTACATATATTTTTAAAAGCCAAATGTAATTTAAAATGCCATACAGTTTCATGAATAAGATGCTAAATAAATCAATGTTTTGCACACTTCACTATTTAATTCCCACTGCTTAATTATCCATGAAACATTCATTTATCAGATCGGATTGACTACGCTGACGCTGCCTAGAACCCTTCACACTCTCAATATGCAAATTTTTTCGAAGAACATTAATACATTTCAGCAAGCATGATATCAAATGGCTTTAAAATCAAATGTTAATGGATAAAAAATAATGTGTAATAAATGTAATAAATACCTCTATATTGCTTAATTAAATCTTCCAGATCATCACCCATTTTAAAGCTTTAATGCAGCATAAAAATTTTAAAAAGATTAACATGTGAGCTAAAAATTGTCACCAAGAATAGGAGCATTTCCTATCAGAAAGGAAGAAAGCAGCAAACAGGAAGTAAAGATGCTATTTCCTTTGAAGAAGCTCAGACTGTGACTGGCTGTTACACAAAAGGGTCACACTACTATTTTTTCTTACTATGAAATATACTTTTTTAAAGCTACTATTTATATCTGAAAGTATGTATATGTGTGTATGTGTATTAATTAATCTATGTGCTTACTTCATGAGGATAAATAATAGCATATTGAGAATAATTGCTGCTATAAGTAATAACACAAAATAAAGTCAGTATTAATTTGTACAAAAAGAATATATTATATTTTTGCATGTCTGATCATAGTAGTATTACATAAATTTCCACATAAATATTTAACAATTTTATTTTGAGTCTAATAACCTTAGAGAACTTAAGGATACTTTTAAATATGTTCTTTTTACTCATCATTAATTTGAATGCTAGCACTATTTCAAGATTTGCAGTCCAATGATCAAAATACATTCTGTAACATAATATCTAACATTCTTTATCAACTTTAAAATCTTACCAATCTAGAAGAAAAGGGCATAGGTTCATAACAGTTTTTAAAATATTTTAAAAGAATTGTTGTCTTCACTATATTGCCTTTATAGGTTTTATTTGTTATTCAAGCATACCAAATTTTACTAATACAAAATTCTAAAAATTTTACTAACATTTTTCTCTTTGAAAGAAAAAAAAAAAAAAAAAAAAAATAGAATAATTTTCATAAAATTTGACATGATCTTTATTAAAATTCTTGTCTTAAATTTCAATATGTATAATACTACAGTTTCACAGAATTTGTTGGCAATAAATGCTTTTTATTATGATGAATGAAAACAGCAATCAAACAATAACATATTATTAAACTAAACATTTTCAAATTACTCTAAAAATTACATTAATATATGCATCAAAGTCTTTCAGAGTTTCAAAAAAATCAATTAATTGGAATTTATTTCATATTAGCATTTATTGGATTTCATTGGTTAATTACATTTTACCATAAATTACCTTCCTGTGACTATATACAATGTTAAATTCATTTGAAGAACAAGTGACACTTCTGAATGCTTTAAATTATTACTTGTCTTTCACACATTGCTTAAGTAAATAATATATTTTTTCTTACACAAAATTAAGTCTTAAAAAGAAAAAATCTCAAAAGAAATAATAATATAAAAATTTCTTTAGAAATCTTACTTTGAAAAACATTCAATAAGAAATTACTTTATGATAGTAAACGAATAACAGTATGACAGATTTATACATTATAATAAAATAATCTGAAAAATGCAGCAGCATAAAAAAGTTGGCATAAAATAAACTAAAATTAAAGAAAAATGCAATGTTATATTATATAAAATATTAAAATATTTTATATAACATTGTATTTATGCCTAGAAAACAAGTATTTATAGTATTGTTAATGAAAAACAAATTGTTATCATTTTGGAATTATAAGTTACAAAAATTTTAAACAAAAAAACAATTTCATTTGCTAAAATAATATTTTAACAATTTTTATATTCCTCACTCTCACTTAAAAAAATTAATTTTAGTTTCCTCAATATATTTAGCAAGCAAATAATTTAAGCATGTACATTCTTCTTATACCTTCTTCCCAAAAACGCTCTACTTGAAAATTAGGGTACTTTAAATTGAGAGGAATATTAACGCTCTCATTTAACTGATGCTCAGATGTTCTTAAAACTAGAAATTATCTTTCAAAACATAATATTAAATTCCAGTGAAAAAGATCTAATTTTGAAATAACTCTGAAAACATCATCATTACACTGAAAACCTGAAAAAATTGTTAAATAATCGATTTTAGTCGTATAATAGTATTTTTACTTGCCTTTGATTTAAATAAAGACCCTGAAATTTTTTAAATCTGTTTTCCTCTACTTTGATTGCTATTAAAACTGATAACGAATATTCTGTCTTAAAAATTATAAGAACTAATTATTGTTGTTGCTAATGCTGACTTGTCTGACCTATAGTCAACCTAAGCCCACAAAGAAATTCCTCATGGCAAGGAGTGCAAGTTTATGCCTGTTGTTGGCAATGGCCTTGAGCACCTTACAGGTGACAGTGTGGTTTAGCTCAGTTCCACCCCCAATTTCGATGAAGAGCACCCCAAAGGGACAGGTCCGAGGGTTGCAACCCCTCTTCCCCTATCACCACCCTCTCAAGAAGACTTTCCGCTCGCCGATATTTAGAGTGCCCCCATGCTGCATACAAACATTCATGCCTGCTCTGGGAATCGAAACCGGGCCTTTCGGCATAGCTGTCCACAGCACTAACCACTATAAGAACTAATTATAAATCTTTAGAGTATTTCAAGAGGGAAAACTATCTATTTTAAATGCTAATGAAATTGTTCAGTAAGCATTAATTTTATTTTATTTGTTTCAATATTATAACAAAGAGATTTGATTCACTTTCAGGCGTTCTTCAATGAGCAACTAAATATTTTTTTTTTTTTAACTAAAACAATTTCAAAAGCTTCCTGGCCCCTCTTCATCTAGTTTGTCAAACTATACACTACTACCACTTTGATGGCTGATTTAATAATTTTCATGTTGTTTTACTCTAAAAAATTTCCCTTTTTTGCTTCATGGGATTCATATAAACTAAATTTTTCATTTTTTTTATTTATCTGAAGATAAATAAACAAATTCCTCTATTAAGATTCTATTAAGTTTTGTAAGGAATTGCATATGAGGAAAATTTCCATTTTAAATCAAACCAGTTTAAGCTATTATTTGAGAAGCTATAGATAATGTACATAAGCATTTAAATACCTAGAAAATATACTGCTGTGGCTGATAATGATCAGGTCATAAGAATATAACAAAATTAGGTGCTAACACATTTTTCTTTTAATGATAATGCATATTATGGATAAGTTGTATTAAGACAACAAAGGACAAGCCATAAAAAGCAAATTTAACTGTTTTCTTCATAAATTAAACAAGCCAAAACTCTTAATTATACAAGCTCTGATTTTTTTTTTTTTTTCCCTGACAATCATTTAACCCATTAACTGCATTAGCTTAGAACCCTCTTTTTTATAATAGACTCCTCTGTGCTCTTATTTTAAAAATGAGCCCCAAAGCCCAATTTAAATATTTTCTTCACAATTAAAGTTAGGATTCAATATGGATTCAACCACTCACATCCAAAAAATTTACATCATAGATCTGCGCCATAATTTTTATACAGTTCGGTGATGGAAGAAATAAACACAATTGGTATGAAGCCAACCCTAAAAAATACAAGTACCAACAAACTGTGTTTTATTGAAAAATGGAAACTTGCAATATCATAAAAGAAAGCTATGATCTTCCAATATTTCCACTAATTTTTATGTCCATATACATATGCTGTTATTGCAAGAATTTAACAAGACCTCTGGACTGCAGAATACGTTTTGATAAAGAAATGTGCATTTTCTGTTATAAATCCAACTACTTCGCAGTCAAAGATGCCGACCAAAAATCCGAAACTCAACTTGTAGATAACCTGCAGCAAAATATCAAAACACTGATTCCATTCTTAATGAATGGGACTTAAAACCGAAATTGAAATGCATTCAATTTCTTTATAGTAATTTCTAATTTCAACATTCCCTTACACTGTTGAAAAGCTTTAATTACATATCAGCATCATATAGTGAAACCATTAGAAAAATCGGTATTTCTCTGTTAATAGAGCACCAAATGTGGTAGCCTAGGACCACCAGCGGCCGAGCAGTTAAAGACGCTAAACACTGGTAGTTCGGTCAGGGGCTCAAGTGTTTTTGTGGTTTTCCCCATATGTAATGTGGATTATGAGCCGGTTTCCCTTAAAATGATCTCCATCCTTAAAAAGACTTCCATCCATCCCTCTCTTTTTGGGTAGTGCGTAAGAGCGGAGTACGTGTTATATGCAAAAAAAAAAAAATGTAGCAGCCTCTTTATATCAAGTCATGAATAGCTGTGAAATGCTTCATGCGTGCAATGCAAAAGGCTGGGCGTGATGCCAAATTTGTGCTCCCAACGTACACTACGTACAAAAAATATCAGAGAAATATACAAATTTGGCATCCTGCAGAGTTTCAGCATTGCGCGCATTAAGCATAATATATATTGTATTACATGATATATTTACTGTTATTACATGTTTACTGTTCTCATGAAGCTTTACGTATCAATAGGGTTACCGCTATCTAGTTACAATTTCAAGCCAGTGTTTATGTTTGGCGCTTTAAAATGGCTTACAATTAACAAGAAATTCCAAAAAAATCTGTACATTTTTTATAACCAGGATTTAAGAATTAAAAATAATAATAATAAAAATAAATAAATAAATAAACTATGCTTTACACGTTGGAAAAGAAAGTGATTGTTTTCTTGTTTGGTTAGCAGAAAAGATCCAAATATAAACAGCAATTCTAAATGGAAGCAAAGCTGTTGATATGGCCACATGGGTTTAGCATGAATAGAGAAAGAACAATACTTTCAGGAAGAGAACTGACTGCATAAATTTTGTGCTTAAGCTATGTTCTGAGCCATCATGAACAGCCCTGCTTTAACTGTGACTCATGTCCAGTATCTGTTGAACAAAAGACCACAACATTGATACTTCATTGCCAAGTAAATATGGACCACATAGAAATGCAAACCATACCTATTTTTATTATTTAATTACCTATTTTAATTGATAGTAAGACAACAATTTTATTACCAAGCACTTTGATCTGACATTTTATTTATTTATTTATTTATTTTTTTTTCCAATGGCAGATTGTGAACAATTACAAATGTAACCCAGTCCATTAATCTATACAAGGCCGGATATGGTGGTCTCTTTATTATGGAGGCACCTAATAGGTGGGCCACCATCGCCTTTCCTATGAAGGGGATGAACAGTTATAGCCATGCCTTCTCCGGGATTCGAAACCAGGCTCTTGGGCATCGCAGTCCGCTTCTCTAAAAAGTATACCGACTGGGCAGCTTTT